GACGTACTCCCATTGTTCTTAATAAGTGTGATGTCGAATTTTTTCCTGAAGGACAATCGACGTTTCGCTTGCTAAGTGATTCTCGTTCCTCGAAATCTCGTTCTTTCCGGGGTCGCTTCCAAGTTTTCATTTCGCTGTTTATAAACAAATAGAGTATTTACTGTGATCTATAGGTACATTAACTAGAATTTTGTTGTAAATAAAGTTATTATCTCTAATGGAATAACATCAAAAGACTGGTGATATTTATTGAACCCACGATTCGCGATATTGAAGCAATCCAAATCCATATAATTCAATGATTGCGCGAACTAAGCTATTGGATGATACTTCACTTCATGTTAAGTAGTAACTGCTGCCCATGGACATTTTCAATGCTTCTGGGTAAAAATAAAGTGGGCCCCGTCTACTTCACTCACCAGAAGAAACGGAGAAGAAGGTATAACATTTCTACTTCACACCGGTCTTCTGTAAGGTCCTGATACTTCCCCAAACGGGCCTGCCCATTCTTGCAACAGTGACTGCTGCTTGGCCCTACCACCATTATCAAAAATTGAGGAAAGCGTTTTTTTAAGATTCTATTCCGTTTCTCCTGACCTTACTTACGTACTATGTAGCTCTTAAAACTTCATTACATGTACATATCGTAGATCCTCAATTATTTTTTGACTCCGTGGCACAGTTGCCAAGGTAGGCTCCGGCGTCGGGGGTCGTGGGTTCGATCCCCACACTGGACAACTATTTGTGTGACCCACAGATACCTATTTGTTACGCATCTGGGTATTTGTCCACGTGAAGTTTATGTTTGTAAAACGTCCTTACAACACAGGATAATGTTATACTTAAGTAAGGGCAATTAAAAAAAAAACAAATTAAATATGATGGCAAATTTGTAATGATATGAGTTATAGCAATGAGTTCCTTCTGGAACGAGTTATGGCAAAAGTTTCTTTTGTACGTTGGTAGGACCACGCAACAGCTTGTGATGATGCACGAATGGGCAGGCTGTCCGGGGAAGTACCACGGCCTCCCAGAAGAAGGCGATGAAGTGGAGGTATTGTATTATACTTCCTGGTGAGCGAGGTAGCCGGGGCCCACTTTATTAAAAGGGGCCTGCTTTTTTAAAAGCTGTCAACGCATCTAAAAAGCCTTCGGATTTCGTAGATATTAATGGGCGGCGGTATTCATTGACCATCAAGTGAACTGACTGTTTCCTTGACAACTTTTCGCTTAAAAAATGTAAACTCTGAACAACACAAGTTAACATCAACTAAATACGTTAAATATTTGTTCACATTTTATTGCGCACAGCGCCGTCTAAATGATGAGGAATTAACCTCAATAATTCAATTCATCATGAGTGCTTTTACATTTTAGCGCTACCACTGTATATAGGTAGCGTAAATTCGAAATTCCAATAAAACGCAAGGAGAGTGCCCGTCTTACGAGCAATATTGCCTTCCCCCGACATTCTATTCAACCAATATTTGTCAAAGGCCAAATCACCTCTATAGGGCACCGGGCGGGGCGATGCCTTATTACGTGTAGAATACAGACAGATAGGAATTGCTCGAACCAGGCCTAGGTTTGAATACCGATTTGATGTAAATTTGGGGCAGAACGCGATTTGTTCAGACAGCTCAGCGTCATCGCGCATCAGTGACGTGGCTTCTAGAATCGTCTATATGTAAAGTAAATTAAGTCAAGTAACAAACAACAGATATTTAACTGCGGTAGGGCAACTCAACAGTCTTCTTTGTTGCACAAATGGGCAGGTCCGTCCGAGTAAGTACCACGACCCCACAGAAGACCTGCGTGAAGTGAAAGTGTTACTTTGCGTCTCGTCTGGTGTGTGAGGTAGCCGGTGCTCACTTTAGTCAAAGGTGGCAACGCATCTGCAAACTCTTACCTCACATATCGGACGAAACGCGAAGGTAAACCTTTCCCAGTCTTCTCTGAGGCCGTAATACTTACCAGGACGAGCCTGCCCATTCTTGCAACAACTGAAAGAAAAACATCTTTTAAAAGAGTTAAAGACAAAATCCGAAAAATAATAGTCTTACCCAGCAACCTTTTAATGCGCTGAGATAAGTACTAATAGTAGCAGAAGTTCTAAAATCATATTTATTATCATTTATAACATTTGAAATTTTCAACCTAATTTAAGTCCAGTATGGAAAAGTTTTTCCAATCATTTTTAGTGTTCACTTCGGATGCAAATCCAGTCTCGGCGAGTCAGCTTAGCACTTATTTAATTCCCCACCCACGTAGTAATATACTTGGAACCATTACTAAACGAACCACGAATTAATTTTACATACATCTTTATCCTTTAAACGAGCAATTCTTGTATGTATAATCGAAGTCGGAAACGGCTCCAGCGATTTTCATGAAATTTAGTATGTGCGTAGATTCGGGGGCGAAAGATTGATCTAGCTAGGTTTCATTTTTAGAAAATGTTTTCAGGGAATGAAAAATATCATTCGAATATGACGGTAAATTTCGCCGCAAAAAAAAATGTAATAGCTCGGTCGGTAATCGCACGGCCCCAAAACAGACGGCCGTGGTTCATGTCACGATCATTTACACACTCTTTTTTTTTAATTCTTTTTTCGATTCTAGGTCATTGCTTTTTTTATTTTTTGTTAATCCAGATGTTTTTGTTATTTTTTTCCCTTTTTTTAAAGTTGTTTCTTTTGTGAAAAACACCACTTCATATTTTCTTATTATTAGGTCGGTAAGATGGAAAAATATTATGCATATTTCATTACTCAGTAATTTGTATCTAAATGTAATTTCCAAAATACACGATTTACAAAAAAACAAACCGAGCAAAGCTCGGTCCTCCAGGTACTATTCATTTATGAGTTCAATAATCCGTCACATACGGAATATACCAATAAATATGCGACGACGCCCTTTTGAAACACAGTTCAATTTCATTTTCATTAATTTTTACATCATCCTGACAACAGAACGTAATGCACTATTAAAAATGATAATATTTTACGGTATGCCAAGCCAATTTGTTGGTCTCAATATTTATTTCATATTTGAAATGTAATAATAACTCAAAAGGATACAGTTAATATAAATATTTTAAATAATAGAGGTCATTGCGAATAGTACTCTTTGTGATTTGTGGTGAACATATTCAATTTGATGGCTTGAGTCAAATAAAGGTCATCAACCTCGGTAACTTTATTAATCTGAGAATACGGCACGAATTATGTGAGCATCGCTGCCAACAGACATCTACAACATGGCAGTTGCGTTGTCAACCTTTAAAACAATAGAACCCGATTACCTCATTCACCTAACGGATCACGAGAAACGAAAGAGTTTTTACGTCGCTTATCATCTGCCTTCAGTCCATATGTGTATTGGTTAGGCATTTTTCGACAGGTCGTTTGCATGACGTGTACTCGTTGGGAACACCCAACCTGAACAATTATATAATTATAGTCAAGTAAAGTCTCAGCCTATACATGTCCCACTACTAGTCAAAGGCCTCCTCTGTGGGCATAGGCCACCACGCGGCCCCACTTAATTATCATTTCGAAAATATGCAGGTTTCCTCACAATATTTTCCTTCGCCGCGGAGCACGTGATAAGAGCACTTAAAATTAACAAATTAAAATTGGTGCCGGCACCGGGGATCGAACTCAGATTGCTTGAGTATATAGAATTAAAGCCGAGCGCCCGGATACTGAGCTATCACGGCTCTAGCATTATATATGGGCCACGCAAATACTTGTCTGGTGTAGGAATCCAACCTAGGACTTGCAGCGCGGAAACCAATAGCTAGACTTTTTGCATAGCTAGAGTGAATAGGTTTTAATGAATTCACCATCTAATTTTCCTCTTAGTAGGTCATCCATTAGTCAGCTTGTGGTAAAGTTAAAAATATTTTTCTTAGTACCGGCGGTCGTCTTGTATGAAACGCATTTATCAAAAATGGAAATGGAAGAGGGTTCATTATTGCCGAGATGCGCGTATCAACCGAAATGCACTTGTAATGGTCTGGATCTGACGTGAAGAAGAATGATTTTTGCACATGCATGTGAAGGGTTAGAAGGGGAAAGGAACCGCTGAGTAAAGATGGATCGATGGTGTAAATTTTATTAAAAATACGAGTTAACGTTGAAAAGACGATTACCACAGACTATTTTAGGATGACATAAGCCGGCATCGCATTGTAAGGCTGCACGTCTGACCAATTGTTTTAAACCAATGCCGATATAAAATTTATCCGTCGCCGATTAAGTGTTGGCTTTGTCCCACTGGCGGTAACTTTCCCGCGCACATTAAGCCGAAAACAAGCTTGAAATTAAAAGCGGCCGATACTGATTAATCATTTACTCCGATAGTCTCAGGCCTGTAACGTCGCTCGCCTTTTTTTAATCCTCGTAAGTCTATTAAACTCGAACGAGGTTTTTAATCGTTGATCGCTGTTGCTACGTCAAACAATCATTTTCTTTTTGTGACCAACTTGTTCAATGTAACATATAATTTGTTTAAATTGATGAGATTTGAACAAATGATATAATTCGACGGTGTGACCGTTTAGCTTTGTAGTTAATGCGTCTAGGCGCGAATTGTCAAGACGTGGGTCCTATTCCCGCAGCGGCGAAAAAGTTTTCGTCTTTTTGTTTACAAATTTTAATAAATTAAGTCCCGTGGGAAAAGGGTAGGAGAATGAGAGATGAAATATATTTTCTGCCACATTCCGTCCGAAGCGTATTACTAAGCTCATCCAATCTCTGTCCAGATCCAGTCTGAAGCTCGGCAGCTTCTTACCGTTTCAGCGAGTTTGAAGATCAACTAAACTAGCCATAAACAATGAAATTGCTTATCTCTAGTTTAGTTGATTTATCAAAGGTTTAATGATTAAAGATGACGAAAATGAGGACACCGAGTCCCAGTACAGCCGCGGGGCTTAAAACTTGACTTCTTCTGAATATCTGTAAAACTCATCTCATCAAATCTTCATTGTGTCGATGTCAACATCGCGTCGGCACCTGTCCGAATCCGGCCGGTCGCTTCCCGCGCGCCATTTCCAGCCCAATTCCGCGTCCAGTTTCGGAATCGGGGAATTTGTCGAATTCGCAGCGAGAGCCCCCTTCCGCCCGGTAATGACGGCCGCGTCCAGTCACCGGCGAAACTCGTTAGCTGCTCGCGTCCGTTTCATCGCGCTGCGCAATGGAGTTATAGGAAATGCGTGACGCCGTCGGGTAACGCGTCAAGCGGGGGAACTTTCCACATTATAGGAGTTTCCACAGGAGCCGCGAGTCCTCTTTGTAGTGTTGTTCGTTCCGCGGTCCAATTCGCTCGTGATTATAGAAAACTGATAGACATACTTAAACATACTTTTCTTTTGTAAATAAATACACATTATATGACTTCTATAATTTATATATAAACACCCAGACACTAGAAAAACACTATGTAGTGGGGATCGAACCCACACCCTCTGGCGCAGAAGGCAGGCCGACACATATACACTATCGACTACGCCATTCGTATTATTATTATTGCCTTCGTGTGGCAGTGGGTAGAGCCTGGCCATTAGAGAAGAATACAATTTGGATTGACACGTATGATTTTACCCGGTATAATTATATTGTATTTCGAAAGCCAGACGGAGCCGCGGGCACAGTCTAGTCCTTAATAGAGCGATGGGAGGTAAGAGAAATCGATATTTAACGCCCGCAAATTTCCTTCATCGTTGAATCTCCCGGCACGTGTATTTTTATGGGGCATAATTTTGAAACGCGAACAAAGAGCCGCTATCCGAGAGTGTTGTGTGAAGTTACGTTACAACCGTATTGTGTTCAAAAGGCAGCCTCCACCTAATTACCGCCTTTGCCCGTTACTATGTCAAAGTCAAATATCTTTATTCAATATAGAAGCATTCACTTACTTATTGATAGGCAATAAACTCTACCACCGGTTCGGAAGGTAAGCCACTGACCTGAGAAGAACCGGCGTAAGAAACTCAGCGGGACATTATTTTTTTTTACTTGCCAAAAAAATAAGTTTCCTTTACAAGTTTTTTGAATTTAGCAACGGATTCATTTTGAACGTTTTCTGGGATTTTGTTGTAAAAGCGTATACATTGTCCCATAAAAGATTTACTTATTCTACGCAATCTAGTTGAGGGTAGAACTAATTTATGCTTGTTCCTAGTATTACATCATGCACATTACTAAATCTTGAAAAGTCATTCTTATTTTTGTGGATATACATAACATTAGCAAGTATGTACTGAGAAGCTACAGTCAATATTTTTATTTCTTTAAACAGGTTTCTTAGTGAGTCTTTGGGGCCCAGGTTATAAACCGCTCGAATAGCTCTCTTTTGCAGGATGAAAATAGTATTTATGTCGGCTGCATTTCCCCAAAGTAGAATGCCATAAGACATTATACTGTGGAAATAGCTAAAATATACCAGACGAGCCGTATCCACATCAGTCAACTGTCTAATTTTTTTGACTGCAAAGACTGCTGAGCTAAGTCTACTCGACAGTTTATTAATATGGGGGCCCCACTGCAATTTGGTATCTACAGTTATGCCAAGAAATACAGTCGAGTCAATGAGGTCTAACGCTTCCCCATGTAAAAGTACATCAGTTTTTACACTTTTTATGTTGTGAGTTGTAAATTTAATACATTTCGTTTTTTTACTATTCAACATTAAGTTATTAGCACTAAACCAATGCACTACAGTGGAGAGAGTATTGTTAACGTCGTCATAATTTGAAGAATGTCGTTTAACTTTAAAATTTAAGAAGTATCATCAGCAAACAATACTATCTCATGATCATTATTTATAAGATAGGGCAGGTCACTTATGTAGATGAGGAAGAGAAAAGGCCCCAGAATAGATCCCTGTGGAACCCCCATACTTACCAGGGCCCCGGGAGATCTCTTGCCATTCACGTCAACTCTCTGAACACGATAGCTCAAGTACGATGTCAGAGGATTGAGTGCGGCATCTCTTATACCATAGTGGTGTAGTTTCCTGACCAGAGTGTCATGCTGTACACAATCAAATGCTTTGGTTAAGTCACAGAATATACCTAAGGCACCCTGTGACTCTTCCCAGGCTTCAAAAATATTCTTCACAAGCTGGATACCCGCATCTGTTGTTGAGCGATCCCTAGTAAATCCATATTGCTTGTTATGCAGCAATTTATGTGTACTAAAATGGAGTAACATTTGATTCAAAACAATTTTTTCAAAATTTTACTAAGAGTTGGTAGTACTGAAATAGGTCTAAAATTTCTGGGGTCAGAAGTACTACCAGATTTGAACACCGGAATAATCTTACTATGTTTCATAAGGTCAGGAAACTCGCCACGTTGAATACAAATATTAAAAATAGTTGCTAAGTAAGGTGAGACTACATCAATTATAGAACTGATCACCTTGACAGAGATCCCCCATAGATCAGCAGTTCTTTTAATATCTAGAGATTTGAATGTTTTTATGATATCGTTCTTATTAACAGTAGTAAACTTAAAGTTTTCTTTACATTCCATAACATTTTTCTTAAGTAATGATTCGGCAATTGTCGGAGAAGAGAGAAGTCTTAGTTGTAGAATGTCAGCAAAAAATTTCTCGAAAAAATTGGCTACCTCCTGATTAGATTGAATAGTATTAATACCATCAGTTAAGGTTAAGTCAGAGTTGCGCTTCGTAAGTCTACCCGTTTCACTATTTATTATATTCCACGTCATTTTGATTTTATCAGATGCGCTTTTTTTTTATTTTTAATAAATATTGATTTAGCCAGATAACAAACTTTTTTAAATATTTTAGAATAGGCGCTAACATAAGCTACAAAAGAATTACTGTGATTGAATGTCCTTTCATTATAGAGTTCATACAGTCTACGCCTACTCTTATGAATTACTCTTATGATTATACTTACCTTGATTTATTGCTACAATTGCATAATTATCACATTTGATTCAGATTTGAACATTCCGTAAGAAATCGAACCGTCGAATACGGAACACTACACTACTCATACTCCACTGAACATTACGGGGACTCCAATCGTCGTAAACAACTTTACATTTACTTTATATAGTGATAGCTCAGTGTCCGGGCGCTCGCCTTTAATTCAATTTACTCGAGCAACCTGAGTTACTTGTCCGATGTCGGCACCACTGAAATTGTTAATTTGGAGCGCTGAGTTATCACGAGCTCGACAGTGAAGGAAAACATCGTGAGGAAACCTCCATATTTTCAAAATAATAAAAAAAGTCCGTCAATCCGCGGTGAGGTCGCGTGGTTGACTATGGCATGATACCCTCATTAAAGAGGACGCCTCTGCAAAGCAGTGGGACATTTATAGGCTGTTACTTTACTTTTCTTTTTTAACGCAATAATATTAATTTATTTATTGATTTAAACTTTTACACAAAAAAATTACATTGTGTATAGGCGGACTTAATGCCTAAGGCATTCTCTCCCAGTCAACCTATGGGCGACGAATAATACTGTTTAAATAAGTAAATAGTTATTTTGAATAAATGTGTAAATTAATAAATATATTTAAGGTACCTACTATTTAAGGGTTGTCAAGAAGTGAAGTCCGCGATGGCCAACTCACGACACTAGCGGTAATGAAAACTTTAATACATACAAGCGGCCCTATCGGCAACCCTTTTCCTATTAACCGCAATGTACTGAACAACGGGGAATCGCGGCATAGCAAACACAGCGGGGGCCCCTGTGCAAATATCGTGTCCTTTTTGTGCGAACGTCACGCGTCGCCGTTTCGAGGGGGAGCGCGGGCTTTTTTGACACTCGGAAATGGGATCGCGACTTTTTATTTGAGGAACGGCCGACTCTATCTGTACCGTGTATCGCGATGATTCTTTTTTTTTTTTTTTTTTTTCTTTTAGTTTCTATTTTCTGCCTATCGATGGCCAATAACTTTTTGTGTTGTGACGATTCTCTGGCCGAATGTAAAAAATATTTCACGGACATTATTTCAAATAAGAAGGTATTAAAAACTTTTTAAATGAATACCTATTTAAAATTATAATTTTCCAACCGAAAATCTACGACATGTTATTATGCTAATGTTCTCGCGAAATTTTGTAGCGTTCCACTCTTTAGCGTGGATAGTTTAAGCAAAATCAAAATGCATGGAGAATTTAATGCGTTTACAGCATAAAGGGTGTAGACTGGAAGACCGAAGAATTTGCATTCATAACTGTATCCTATTAGGGAACTGAGCACGGTCTATTTCAAAAACTCCGTATATGACTCTGTTTCAACTTACACACTTCAGTTAGATATTCCATCGGGAGTTAATAATGATTAGTGTCAAGAATAGTGTGACTGTATATTTCTTTAATTCATTTCTTTATGGTACAATGGTATCACTTGCTTCTTTCTCCTGCTTTCTATATACATAGAACTAACTTCACTCTGGCGAACTAACGTCTTGTTCGGCGTACCGAATATTCGGTATGCTCGAGACTACTTGAATACGTCACGAATATCCTTCGCTTGTTTTGGCTTGCTAGGTACGTTCCGCGCACCTGCGTACAGGTATATTATCCGTGTAAACAAGATGAAAGTGGCCCGCCGAGCTATTAAGACAGTTTAGAAGTTCTAAGCAAGTGCTTTTGGCAGCCGTCGCTACCAGAGGTTGCAGCTATATTATTTAAGTGATCAATAATTTCTCGAAGTTATCAACACGTGTTATTTTAAATCAGTGTTAGTGATACTGTGATTTAGAAAAATCTTAAAAGCTATTCACATCTCAATGTTTCTTTCGGGCGATCAAGCTCACTTACATGCAAATATTCGCATTTATTATATTAAGTTACTTTAGTTATCCTATAAGTGGGTGCGAACCGTAAGGGATATAGGGAGAAAGCTATAAGTGCGTGCCTTGATCCCTCAGTCCAGGAATCCTTTCCAGCAGTGGACTAATGCGGGCGGATGTCGATGATGACGATCATATTACGGCCAAAAAAACAGTAAAAAAAAGAACTAGTTTTAGGTAAGCATTTAGGATATGGTATTGAGTACATGATATTACCACTTTTTCTATTTCCAGATTTCGTTGAATTGAGTCCAGAACAAACTTTAATTTATCATTTGCACTACCTATTTCTGAAGCAACACCGTGTGTTAAGATGTTACGTTTTAGTTTTCTTCGAATAATATTTGCACAAAATCCTTTTATATTGAGT